TGAATGTTGTAGAACCGAATATGGATTGTGGTACATTAAAAGTAAATGGTTGATGAACTATTTCTGAATTCAAATGAACTAATTGTATTTTCCATGAACTATAAATTGGATTTTTAAAAAAATTGAACTTTCAAATTCCAGATAACTAGTTTGGTTTTCCACGAAGTTCATTTTAATAGTTGTCAAGTAACAACTGAAAATGTTGTGAAGTACTTTTTAATACAAATTTGGTGAAGTGAATTTGAATTTTGTACAGTGAATTTTGAAATGTTGGCGAAATAGCTCCAAAATCAATTGAAAATAATTTTGTTTTGAATACACAATGAAATGACTGAATTTTATATATTTTTTTGAAGTAGTTTTGAAATTTGGTGGTATGGAAAATAATTTTTATGATGATGAAATTTGAATTGTTCTTGAACTAATTGGCTTTCATGCAGTAAACTACTAATAAATGTGAACTAATATATTTGTATTATTTTTGAGTACTAATGGATTGAATTTCGATTTGGTGAACTAAAGATTCAATGTTAGTGAACTAGAATTGAATTCAAGTAAATTAATTAGATTTTCCATTAACACTGTACTACTTTTCAACAAAAGTAGTCGTCCTTTCCCAACATTTGTCAATTATAGATGAAGAAAGAACAAAACAAATTTTTAACAAAACCAAAAAACTGACAAGTTACATTTCCAAAATGTGTCGATAATTAACTCAAATAAATAAAAGAATAATTGTGAAAACATGAAAAAGCTAAAACCAGCTTAAATCAACATTGACATCTTTTTATATTTGAGATGGAAATACTTTAAAACACATTGAAGGGAGGAAAAAATAAAAAGAAATACAGGAAATATAGTTCCACTTGTACCATCGCAGAGATACTCGGCCAATTCTTTTGGCAGCTTAAAAAATAAGCCGCCTTGTCCCCAACTTTTCCCATAAGCCTCCTCTTTTGTTCATTGGGGCTTCTAAACTAATTTAGAAGACTCAACAAATTTAAAGTGCGGCTTATTTTTTAAGCCGGGGAGCGGTAGCTTAAGCCGCCCAAAAGAACTGGCCCTTAGTATAAACATAGATTGCAACAAAGATACTACAGGTCACGAAGAAACTATAGTTGCACTTTTAGCAAAAAAATGCTCAGTAAGCCAACATAGATACTATATAGTTCATGGAAAATATAGTACGCCATTTGGATTCAAAAAAAAGTACATATCCAAGAGTATAGCAGTTGCTCGAGGGTGACATATGTTTAAACAAGTAGTACTATGTACTACCATATGATTACAGATGAAACCGTTGTAGACAGGAAAATGCATTCTTTTCTCCCGATGAATTACACATTCAAAATGTTTGCAGATGGATGTTGCGGGAAAGTCAATTTCCTATTGGCAGATCTTCTTCCTTGAGCTTGTTCAAAGTGCTTTTGAATAACTTGAACGCAGATATCATTCTGTACTTTGGAATGTTTGCCTGGGTATAAAGACAATATAGACAAAATGTGAGAGATAGAAGTACATAACTTGAGAAAACTTTTTAAGGTACTAGAAAAAAGTACTATACAGTACTATATCACTGATTTATTATAGGAAGCTGCAGAGATAGTAAACGCTGAAAAAATCTTGACTAAGTCATATGAGCATCGTGAAACAATTACTGTTGGGACGACACGTGACAACACATTACAAGACCTGGAAATATTGTCGGTAAAAGAAGTATCGGTAGAAAACGAACTAACACTTCAAAAAATGAATAAATATCAATTCCAACCATGCATGCAAATAAGTCAGGTCATTCCCTAGTAAGCTAGGGAGAGAAAGCACGTGAAATTTAACGGACTTCATGGTGTTCATTTGGCAGAAAAAAGAACCAACAACTGTTTCCAGCTTTGAACATATCAAATGGCCTAGCTCACTAGTTTACTTTGGATTCAGTTTTGCATAAACAGAAAAAAAAATAAGGCAAAGAGTTTTCAAAGAGTTTTCAAGATATACCACACTGAAAGTCTTCATAGCTTTGCCTTCGAAATTTTCGATGTACAAAGGCAGATAGTGGCTTGAGTCATGCCTGCATAAAGAAAAAAAATATGAGAAAAATGAGAATGAGTATCAATTGTGATAACAAACAAGTAGGACGAAAAAATGTAATAACTACAGAAAAGTATGTTGAATAAAGTTGCAATGGAAAAAATTGAATATATATACAAAAACAAAGAAGAAGAGAGGACTTACATTAGACAGTTTGTTGGGTAAGGTCCCACAGGTTCAAGCTTGAAAGAGAATACATTCTTGAATGGCTTTTTACTCAGCTTGCAAAGCATGTTGTAGTTGGAAAGTTGTTTAATATATATACACGCATTAGTTACCAAGTTGTAGACAAGTTCTTGCTGGGTAGTTCCCAGAATGGTGCCACAGGGATCAAAAAAGTGAGATCTCTCAAAGAGAGAGTTGATGGAAAGTACAACCTAGTGGTTTGATTTTATAGTAGGGAAGTATAACTGTTCAACAAGAAAAAGCAGAATGAGTATAAAAAACAAATAGAATAGATCTTGGTTAACATTGGATGCATTGAAAAAGATTTACCAAGTCTTGCTTCCAAAGGCTTTCTTCTGAATTAATCCTGTCAAATTCTCGTATGCACGAAAGTGGATCAAATAACTCAGGGGGAACCAACAATTTATTCTGTCAACAACAAAATGAAAATTAGTAAAATCTCACATTGAATGTAAGTAAAAAGAAAATTTGGTCAAAAGAGAACCAAATAGGCAGGTTAGAAGGAAAACTCACAGTGAAGTACGAAGTGAAACAATACTTCTTAACGTAAGGCTTTACTTCAGATGACATCTTTGATTCATAGTTAAGAACTTGAATAAATGAGTTCATCACTTCATCTCCAATCTCACCCCTCGCTTTAAATGAATTTAAGTAATTCTCATAGCTTACAGGAAAACCCTCTATGTCAACAAAAAGAGTGCTGGACAGAATAAACAAGCATAACTAATGTTAAATTGAGAAAAAGGATCTTAAAAAATATAGTTTAACAATTAAAAATATACATATACAACGCTATGGTGGTCAAAACAAAAAGTTAAACATCCTTTTATAGGGGCATGAACATTGAGTTGTAAACTAAATTAGTTTGGTATCCATGTGATTTATTTTTAGTCTAAAATTGTATGAACTACAAAGTTTTTGATCTGAACTACCATTGAGGTGATCCATAAATTTGTTCAGATTTCATAATACAAAATATGATGAAAAATGTCTACAACTAATTTAGTCCATAAAATTGCTTGCAGATTAGAAAATGCCTACAATTATTTTTCTAGGTAGATGTGTAGACTAAAAAAGTTCTCATAATTTAATGAAATAAGAAATGATAAAATAACTAAAGGAATAAGAGAATTAACTATTCTTGGAATATATGCTTCCTCAGATATTTGGAAAAGAAGATATCCACTTCGTGAGAGATATTGAGTTTCTTTGGTGGTTCGGGGGAGTGAACTTTAGCTGATCTTTTCTTTCTGTTCTTCTTTTCCATTGTGTTAGTTCCTGTACTTGGTCCAGCTTCTGCATTATTCATTGTAGAAAAGTCTGCATATCACATATACAAAAAGTTTGAACATTAAATGTTGCAATGCACCCAGACTCATAATACAAGAAAATGGAGAACACATAAAGGGAAAACAAGATAATAGTCAAGAATTATAACCTTGTTGGACAGCAAAGTTCATGTTCATTGACATTCCTACACTTGTATCATAGTGAGAGGCTGGTATGTCTTCATTAGTCACACCAGCAGGAGTGATAGGAGAATCATCCTGAATAATGATTGGAGCACCTTCGAAGTGTTTCACTCTTTCATTTGGAGAAGCAGAACTAATCCATATAAAACTTCTTTTTGCATCAACTCCACTAGATAAATTGATACCAGGTGCTTCAGTCGATAGAAAAGTTTCTTCCTGCTGAGAAAGGTAATTGAAATGATGTTGTAACTTCAATCAAAATTATGATTGGAAAAAAATTGAAAAACTTCAAGCAGACCTTAGGTAGTGAAGTGGTAGGATGCTCAACAGGGTTGGTGTTCAGAGGTGTACCATTGACTGGAAAAATTGGTGTTCGATACACCGAATTCAGGACATAAATGTTCTGGACAAAAGGAAGCACACAAAATTCAGGCAAAACAACAAAGCAAATGAAAGTAAGCTACATGGAATATTTGTCTCAAAAATAGAAATGTTGCACTTAAGATTACTTGCGAAACCAGTATTATAAGTGTTGCTCATGATAAGTCATAACAAAAAAATTGAATGGTATTATCAAATTACTCCTGCTGCATTCAAAATGGCCATTTAGAAAACACACTGCGGATGATGAGCGAATACAATATACTTAGAAACAGCGCTACTTGACTGAATATCCATAGCACACAATATGCTAAGCACTAGAGTTACTGTTAAGCTCTGAAGTCAAGATGAAGAAAAGGAGACAAATATGTAAGCTCTGAAGTGCGTTTACAAACCTCAAATTTTGGTCTAATTGGCTCGTTCTTAACTACATCATTGGAGGGGGCTGGATTATAAAAAAAATACTAACATGACACTCCTTTCAAGAAAACACTTAGATAGGAACTACAAAAAGGCACAACACAAAAAAATACCTCTGATTTCAAATGTGACTCTGATTTGAATTTTATATCTGCTTCAACTTTTGCGGTGCAACTGGGAACTGCTGAAATGATATCTGGACTTTTTGAATCAATTGACTTGTTTTCATTGAGAGCTTCAGGAACAATATTACCATTGTTGACCTACAATTGACATTAGAATAAATGTTTATCTATATAAGATAAAAATTGACAACAAAGAATAAAACAAGTAGAAATGAATGATTCTACTCATAAGAAATACCTCCACAGAAGGAACTGAATTAAACACACCAGGAGCATCATGAGCACTGTTAACTGGGACCACATTGGCATATGGTGTGCATGATATGTCTTAGAGCTACAAATTACAGTTAAACAAAATGATGAAAACAAACTACTAGAACTAAAAAATAACTCAAAAACCGATATACAGTATATGATGCTTACTGGTAAAACCCCAATTTTTTTCCTAGACTCATAATTCCTATCAACCAATGCGAGATACTTGAAATCTTCAGTCTTAACATGAGATATCCGAGGAAGAGAATAATCCACGGTTGACTGATGATTATCAATAAAATCAATATCAACAAAATCCAGATAAATGATCTGCCATTTAAAAACTAAACAGGTCAGTAAAGTAAAAAGTAGAGAGATAAAAAATAGTGGAAGTGAAGATTGAACTTACTCCCCAAATAGGAAGACATCCACCAATATATGAAGGCTTGTTCATTTCCTCAACACTTGGTCTGTTCATAATCATTTCAAAATGACGCTCTGACTCCTCACGCATGAAATCCAGTGCCCATTGCCCAAAGTCAAGTGAAGGTATAGCAGAAACATCTCTTAGAGAGTATAAGAACTTCATGTTACCAAAGAAGTATGAGGCAGGGCACATAATAGATGATAGGAAATAAAATGCAAAGCTCCTGATAAATCCATCTTCTGTCTCGTCACTAAGCATCACCTCCTCTATTTTGTTGATCGGCATTTTGTTCCGATAATCTACATACTTGTTCCTTAACTCTGTAACCTCTTCCTTCACTTGGGGATCATCGCTACTGAATACAAAAGGCTCGATGCCACCAGGAAAATCAAAGATTTTGTTGACCATATCTTTAGTAATCTTGATAGTTTTATTCTTGTGCTTAAAACATGGCTCTTTACTTCCAAACATATGCTGATCTATCCATTCAAGCAGATTCATTGGTATTTTAAGTTTCTCTGGCATATGAAGCAAAGGTTCCAATTTGTAATTTCTCACATGGCCTAACTGAATATCACTAAACTTCTTCACAGGTTTGTTCCAACGCTTGAAAGACAGTCTGGTAATGTATGTTGGCTTGCATAATTTCCTAGGGAACAATCGGGCTATGAAAAAATATATAACAACTGATAAGACGGTGGAAAAACTAGAGAATTAACCAATAAAGATGGAATATGAAAAAAGCATAGCCCAATAAACTATCACACGAATTAGATCTCCGTGTAGCTAGATGCGGGAGGCATCGCTATTTGGATGGACAAGCAATTAGTTAGCGGGAATAAATCAAATCAAAGAAAACAAAAAGGAGATTAGAATTTAGATAGTGCACGTGTGGTGTACTTAGTAGCTTTGAAAAGCAAAATCTGTAGGAATTTATGTTTCTTTCAAACATTATACAATAGTTTTATTTTTATCAATACCTCATTGTGGAAATTATGTTTGATTGGAATTGATCAAGGGTTTGCATTCATTCGTTGTACTTGAGGAATTAAACTCAAGGTGCTGGTCACGGTTATACTGGAACACTTCATGTTCTTATACATGTTGGAATATTCGCAGGAACAGTATAAACTGGGGAAGCTGGGCTATGCGTAGGATCAGCTCTACGTATTGAGAAGCGTACATGTTTGAACATGTATTGATACAGTTTAAACATGGCATATGACTCACACATACATGGAAAGGGATAAGAAGGAATTTGACTCGAAAACTAGTTGGTTATGATCATGGTTGGTTAATTTGATTAGGAGTCTAACTAAACTCTATCCGGATACGGATTTGAATTTTCAGGAAGCTGAGTATAAATATGTCCCTACCCTCTAGCCTCATATTTGAGTACACACACGAAAAAAGCACTTACATAAAAATGATTAGTTGAGCATGTACTTCAAGAAAAATATGAAAAGAAACCATGTTACTACATAGGAAAAATATGTGATCCACAAAAAAATTAAGAAAAGGCACAGACTTAACATTCAAACAGCACAAACTAACAAGTGAATAGACAAAAACATCTGGTAAGACCAAAAGCTGACATAAGAATAATTTTTCCAGCAATTTGATATAGTTTTGTATTATAGCAAATTTGAAAGCTACAAACTGAAAAGAGAAGAACTAACATACCACCTGAGTCATTCCAGAGACCTCATGCAGGGTATTTAGTTGGTTAGTCCCCTTCTGGTTCTTGAACTTGGCCAACCCCACCTCCTTCGTGTGCTGCAAATATAGATTTAACAACAACTATTAAAAAATGAGCACTAGTTATGAATATATGACATTGTAGATAATATAAAAAACCATAACATACTAAAGGGATTGGACAAGAAAACATAGAAATACTAAGAGGACATTTTCTTCAAATTCAATAACCTAGTTGAAAAACAAAAATATTTGTGTTAAAGCTCATCTACATGTGCCATAACTATAGCACATTTTAATTCCTAGATCACTGATTCTATATGTGAAAATTTGAGCGGGCATTTTCTGTTATCTTTTTCTATGTTCTTTTTGCTATACAAGGTACTATAGTACCACTACAGAAATTGAAATTGACAATTGCTTCTTCTAGAAATCAGCTGATCATTCTCTCGTAACCTAACATGTGGGAACTTGACAACTCTACATGCACCATGCACTAACTACAAAATTGGTATATATAGTACTATAAAAACATTATATTATTATACAAGAACCCTTTCTGGAACAATCAAACATCATAACTTGACTAAACAAAATCACGCCAAGTACAACACCTAGGCATTCACAAATGGGATATATGTCCAGTTAAATTAGGCATAGCTTATTAGTATTAGTTGAAGACATAGCTATGGGCATTACCAAATACCTCATGGTATGGATTATGTGAAATAAACTAACTTATGACAGAATGGGGAACATATGAAATATTACTAGACAAGTGTCAACAAAAAGAACGGATGAAAAGTATAAGAGATTGTCGCATACAGATGTGCAAAAACTAGGATTAGAACCAGACATAAACGTGAACTAACAAATAGAAACGTGCTAAGGAGAAATTGTCAACAAACCATGACAAACTAAATGTCTCAAGTTGAAGTTCATTAACTAACAACAAATGCACTATACCCTCTAAATTATTACAATACACTCCACAATCTACTATTGATTTATACTCCAATACATGTAGAACCACTCTCCAATCCCACAAGATTAATACTCAGAGCCAACATCTTCCTAATAATCACAAAACCCCTAGTAAATTTCAACTATGTTATGCATGCCGATGGGCACAAAAACAGACAGAACAACAAAAGAGGAGATGAATTCAGACGCAACAAGACAATAAATCATACAGCAGATTCAGTTACACAGATGGCAGAGGGACACGCACCAACACACGGGAGATGCCATCCGTCACATGAGATGGAATTACGCGCATGAACAGGATACATTTATACACATGCAAACAGAAGATCTAAAATAAGGGGCGGAATTTTCTACCCCAAACCCTAGATACCCGAGACACCATCCATCAATGCACACGGCCAGATCCACGCTTAAACAAATAGCAACACAAAGAACGAGCACCACAAAAAACACAAACCCTAACCGAAGACCTGAGGGGGATTAGGGTTAGAAGTAGAACGAACCAGATGAATCCATCACACGACGAAGGAAGAAGAACACAGAAGAAGCAGTCGGATTAGGGTTCGTCGATGCGCTCCCTCGTCGATCCGCTTGATTCGCCTGAGATTCGAACTCAGTCTTTGGGGAAGAAGAGAAGTCGTCGGGGGAGAAGCAGAGGAGGAAGCAGAGGACGCCACGGGAAAACAGAAGAAACAGGGGGTCGGGGGAAAGACTTAGACGACCACGGAATTGGGGCGAAACATATTCTAAACGGGCCGGCCCGCCTAGCACCGCTGCAGGCGCCGGTTTGCAGAATGAACTAAAACCGGCGCGTGTGGCGCTAAATAAGAAATGCCGCTTAAGGCATCATTTTTCTTTTTAGCAAAACTTAAGGCGCCAATTTGATTTTTAGGTGTACTTAGGGCATCTCCAATGCGGACGCTAGCAGCGGAGCCCTAGGATTCAATTCCCAGATAATTGGCAGTTACGCCGCTGAATCCTGGCATCAGGCGCAGAGTAGGCGCAAACGTAGGAGGCGGGCGCTAGGCCCTTTTCCTCCACGAGCTGAGCGAAGCGCTCTTTCCAATTCGGCTGTTTAGCACGGTGGTTAGCGCCTTGCATTGGAATGGATAACGCTTAGCGTTTTTTATTTATTTTAGGTATTTGTTTTTTCTGTTTAAGTGTTTAGATAAGCGTCTTCCATTGTAGATGTCCTTAAGACGCCAAATAGATGTCCCATCCACGTAGTGCGCGCTGAGTCTAATTCTTCTTGTCAGGCCCGTCAAGCGACTGGACGACATATTTTTTTACAGTTTTGCTAAAGCACATCTAGATGTGTCATAAGTATTGCACATCTAAGTCCTATATCATTGATCTTATGTTGAGATTCGTGTGAATATTTTTTTTTCTTTTTCCCTCTATACTTGATTCACTCAGTTGGATGTGTAATAATTAGAGTACATCTAAATGTGTCCTAGACACACTCTTTTTTTACTCAGACTGGACGACATATCGTTCGGCCCATATTCCAAGCCGACGGAAGTACCCAACACACCAGTACCTCAAAAAGTGTGAGGGAGACCTAGACCTCATTCCAATCTTTGCTGTCCTGTTCCCCTAATCCGCCCCATCCCCGCCGCCACCCGCCGTCGTGCCGCTGTGTTCCACCCGCCGCCCCCAGCTCCTCCTCCTCCTCCCTCTAATCTGCTTCCTCTTCGTCTACCTTGATCGAAAGGTAAGTAGGCAACCCCTATTTCTTTTCTCCTTTTTTTTTGCGGGGCTATTTCTTTTCTACTAATATCGAAGAAATGGGGAGCAGGGGCTGTGTGGCGCTCGGTTCCCTTCTCTCTGAATATAATCTTCCTTGCCAGCGTTTGTTTGAGCGTTAGCTGTGTAAGGAGTAGTTTTGTAGTTTGCGGGGTGTTGTAGTTTGTATATGGCGTAGTAACCAAATCCTGGACTCAGAATCAAGAGGGCGAAGTTGCAATTTTTATTTTGCAAATACGAAATTTTACGCCTACAACAAGTTAGATTTTGCAGAATATTGAGAAAACTTAGATAATTGTCTTAATCTTGTCCGCATTAGCTTACAAAACATATTTTCATAGTTAATTAAATATAAAGCTACTCGATAACAAAAGAAACTGGAGTACCAAAATACTACTTTTCACTCAGTAAAAGTTCTAGTGTCAAAAATGCTCTTATATTAGGGGACGGATGGAGTAAAAAGGATGAAAGAATCTACACTAAAACGGCAGAATCTAAATAGTTGGACTTCAGTTTGCCAGGATTAAATTTCCAGCGGGAGAGGGAGGGTAGAATAGCACTTGCTGCTCACCAGCTCACTGTGTGTGGCGCCTGCCTGATAGCTGAGTGCGGTCGCGATGAGGTGAGCCGGGAGCCCTGACCAGCCTCTTGCCTCTCTGCTCTGGCCGGTGGCTTGCCACCCCCCATTCCAGCAAGCCCCAGCCGTTGGTCGCAAGAGTCTACGCTAGATGAAAGAGTAGTAGTTGCCAAGACACAAATGAGAGTTGGGACGCTGCTCATTTTTCTCCCAGGAAGAACAATTTCAGATAAATGGAGTACTTAAAAATATTCAATTTTGCTTGTGTGTGGGGGTAACGCCCTATGTTCGCCCCGGTGAAGCTCTGCCGTTGTCCAGAATTGCCTGGGCCATAACTTGTATCAGTTTCATTCGATGAATGCATGAAAATGGTGGCGAGAGCAATTACTATGTCGCCCCTGAAGGGAGTATAGGAGGTCAAGTCTTTATTTACTTTTATTTTGTGAAAGGCGATTTTTAGTAAATTTTCTGCTCTGATGCTTTTCTGTTGTGCATTTGTTTTGAGTCTATTCAGGATATCTGCCGCTGATCTACCGACGACTAGGATTTTGAAGCTAGTTCGGAGTTGTCAATCATGAGCCTCCGCCGCCACGTGAATCTGTTGTTGGAGAACCACAAAAAGTGCGCCTATTCGCTTCACCTCCTCAAGCGCGACCATTTATTCTACCCAACGGAAGAAGCAGCAAAGGTGCGAGATTTGCCCAGACTAAGAAAAGTGCCACCATACTCACCTTTTGGGACCAAGGTGAATGGCCAAAAGAAGAAGAACCAGGCGGCTCTCTCAGATAAGCTGGAGAGTATTAAGCTGTCGCCGGCAGTCTTCACTGTGCGGCCATCGATGGCTTGCAACGGCGAAGCCCGATTGAGTTGTTTCTCTCTCTCTGGAAGCAAGATCTTCTTCACTGATAGTGGGGCACGCACCACCCTCTATGACACTGAGGACCGCTGCATGATAACATCCCCAAGCCTCCATTCGCCCAAATGCTACCCCATCGCCGTCTCTGTCCCCATCCCTGGATCTGAAGGTGAGCAGGATGGCGGTGACCACAGCCTCTACATCATGGACACAGAGCCCGATCCATGCAAGGCCTCTCCGTTCGAGGCGCTAATCTGCTGCAAGTGCCCAGATAGAGACGTTACTGTCCCGAAGACATGGCATTGTGACACACTCCCGCCGCCGCCGTTCCTTAATAATCCAGGTCGCAGCTCTATCTCGATATCATCTTATTCTGTGGTGGGGGACGTCATCTGCATTTCCGCAGATGGCTTGGGCACCTACTGCTTCGACACGGTGAGCCGGACGTGGAGCCTGGCTGGTGACTGGCAGATGCCCTTCTACGGCAAGGCGGAGTACATCCCTGAGCTCAACCTCTGGTTTGGCCTCTCTGCTGGTAATCCTGAGCTCCCGTGTGCGGCTGATCTCTCCCCTGTCCTTAGAGGGCATGAGCCGAAGCAGCGCTATGTTTGGAGGGATCCAGATCTGCCGGAGGAATGGCACCCGTCATCCTATGGTTCCAGCAACATTACCAGTTTTGGTTCTGGTAGATTTTGCATCACCAACTTCTATGAAGACATGAACAACTGTTTGATGGATAGACAATCAGGTCCAGTTGGCGAGTCAATTGTTGTATTCAGTGGGTTGTAAGTGTTGTCTGGCAAAGAAAGTGGCGGCGATAGCGGCAAAGAAAGTGGCAACGGCAACGGGCTCCGTATGATTAAGCATAAGTCTTGTACAATTGCTGAGACCAACTTGATCGAGTCGATGAGTCGATACTGTGACTGCTTACGCGTCTTTGCTCAAAGCTTCATCCGTTTAACTGGGACACCCGATAACCACCACACGTGTGCTCACGGCTGGACCAATCGCCTATGCATTCACAAGTGACGAAATTGATGATGTCAGCGAGGATATTTTGAGTTTTCAGTTTTTAAAATGTTTTATCTCTTAAAAGAAAAATTCAATTAAAAAACCGTTTTCACCATTAAATTCGCCGCGATGAGATTTTTGAAACTTAATCCTATATTAATATATTTTGACGATTTTTTGGGCTCAAAGTTGTCATGTCTATTGCACATTTGCACATGAATTGTTGGTGTTTACACTGAAATTGTCATAATATGTTTCAACTAATTTTTCTTCTATGTTTAAAATAAATTTTGACATGTTATAAAAACTAAGCTTGCCATGGTGAATTACTAAAGTTTGTCATGATCAATGAAATAATTTTGACATTAAAAGGAAATCCGTCATCAATTACTTTGACAATGACTCAAATTTGCCATGAATCAGAAGCTAAAATTGCTATGGTGAATGACTTAAATTTACCATGATACATGCACTAAAATTTACCATGGTTCATAAAATAAATAAATTCCATACTCAAAAATACTAGAATTACCATTGTCAAAATACTAAAATTGCCATGATCTATAAACTAAGTTTGCAATGTTGAGTTACTAAAATTTGCCATGATTCGTGAATTAAATTTTATTAATTACTAAAAATTGCTATGGTTAATTAATAAAATTTGTCGTGAAAAGTAGTTGAAATACAAATGGTAGCTTTAAATCTAGAAAAAAGCAGATTGAATATATCATGACAACTTTAGTATAAATACTATGGCAACTTCAGTGTAACATCCTAAGAGCAACTCTAGCAGACCCCGCATCTTGCTCCGAATAACCGCCAAAATGCGGGTTGAGGCGGAAAAACCAGCTCGATCAGACCTCGCATCCCGCCCCGGCCCGCAAAAAAAATTTAGGAGGCGCGGCAAAATTTTGACCCCAACCCGGGAATACGCGGATTCCCTCAGCGGCTGCGGCGCCCTGCATATAAGCGGAAGCGGTTGGTGGAGGGGACATTTCAGCCCGCGCTTTCCCCACCAACCACCTCTCCTTCCCCCCTCACGCCGTCGCCCAAGATTCCGGCGAAAACCGCCGGCAGGAGCACGCCGAAAGGCCGCCACGCGCACGAGACCTCCCCTCCCTCCCCCTGCGTCCGCGGGCCGCCGAATTTGCGGATCTGCGGCACTTCATCGCCGGCCGCCAGATTTGGCTTTTCCGGCCGCCTGTTTGGTGCGCCAAGCGATGGAGTGGTCGGGGAACCTCTCCGGCAGCCCCGGCAAGGGCGCATCACCGCATGTAGGCTCGGGTTCGTCCACCCACCGCCGCCGACGGTTTGTGGGCATGGATTCGTCCGGCCGTCCACCGGGCTCGGCGCTCACGCAACGTCTCTGTGGCTTGCCGATGTCGCTCATCCAATGCGACGACTGCACGCGGACAGTGTTGCGGCTAGCTTCGGGCACGCCGAAGCACCCCAGATGGGTGTTTTTCAAATGCGAAAACAACGGGGTATGTGCACTTGCGGTAGCTCATTCTTTAGTTCAATTGTGGATCCTCATTTCGAACATGGTCATTCGTTTGTGTAGGACGACGGATGCTCATTTTGGTTTTGAGAAGGCCAATACATTGATTTATTGATAGAAAGAAACTTAATAGATGTTGGTGCAATCCTTAATAGAATCGAAGGCAATGATGTGGTTGCATGTGCAACTAGAGGGAAAGCAACGTCTACTTATTTCGAACCAAAGATGAAAAAAGAAGAATGCAAAATCAAGAATCCACAGATCAACAACGAATGCATGGAGAAGATATTAGTCCAACTAGTGGGAGCAGTTATGGAAGTTGGAAATCTTCTAAAATGGATACTTGTGGTTCTTGTTTTCTTTGGTCTTGCTATTCTAGCAAAGATTTGATGATGTCTTTTGTATCCAATGTTGTTAAAAAAGCAAAGAAATGCAATATGCTAGATCAAATTAAGGTGCAAATATAAATTTTTGCGGGTCGAGGAGCTGCGCCAGAATATCCTTTTTACGGGTTCATTATGCGGGATCTGCAACTGCGGCCGTCCGCGCCGCCCCGCAAAGGCGTTTTTCCGCGAACTGCAAACATGTTTTGCGGGCCGGGGGGATGCGGGGTCTGCTAGAGTTGTTCTAACAACTTTTGGCAGAAAAAAATGTTGGCGAAACATATTAATATGAGATCTAGTGTTGAATACCTCGTCGAGACGAATTTAATGATGAAATCGATTTTAATCAAATTTTTTATTTAAGAGATAGATTTTGATGTCTGAAAAATCAAAAAGATTTTATTGATGTCATCTGTTTGATGTGACAAAATAGATGATAATAATGATGTGACAAAATAGATGATAATACATGCGTTTGAATCATGTTGCTTCATAACATACATATGACACTTATCATTTAACCATGTATAAGGGACTGTCAAGACGTCGCGGTCAAGTCTTGTGCTCTTTAATTTATCTTCTGTAGTACCCACTGCAAGAGATGCTACATATGGATGTATTTGAATAATCTTCGGATGCTAATTTTGTATGAGATCGTAAGTTATTCCTGACGCTCGTTCCAGGGAATAAATTATTTTATAGGACTGTCTTTATTTTGTTGTTGAGCAATTAATTTACATGCTTAATTAATGGGGACTTACTTTGGTCTGAATTGTGTTGCTATCTTACCTGAAGAGTATGTGAAGAGAAAGAAATACCACCTTTCGTCGAACAATGTTATAGGTTCTCTTTAGTAGTGCAGGTACACTTTGTACAACCATGAGAAGGGTGTGTATGCCATAAGAGCATATACAACCATGATTACCAACTATATGCGTCGGCGGACACGCTAGAGACCCGTGTCAGAACTCAAATTCTTGCGTGCACAGTCGTTTATTTTAATTGCCTCCCGATGAACACGACGCTATTTTCTCTGTTCTGACTCAGCCGGTTGGCTGCGAATAAACAAGACGATGTCACTATATGCGTTGGAGAGCACACATGTATCACTAGTACGTGCTATATAAACGGTTTTTAACTCCTTTCCGCGACGGCGTTCGGAACCGTCGCCAAGTGAGTAACGGCGATAGGGGGTCCTTCCCACACAACCCAGAAATCGTCGGGGATATTCCCTCCTGGCACACATGCTCGGCAAAATGAGGTCGTGTGCGACTGGCAAGCACTCAAATACGGAAATACACACAATAGAGCTAAAAAATATAATTATACAGACGAAATTATTTCCGGTCGCAAGTACATCCCACACAGTCAGTCATCGCTAAACGTTTCCATTCGTATGTACATCCCACACAGTCGCTCTAAGAAAAACGTTTCTGTTCACAGATACATCACACACAATTTTCCGTGTTAAATCGTTTGTGATAGTGTTGTCATTGCACAGGATATTAACAATTTTATCGTTTGCGTTATTGAATGCATCACACACGGTGCATAGAAAAAACTGTGTGGTAAAGACTATTCATCACACATAGTTTTTATGTGGTAAACGTTTGCGCAAGGTGGCGTAACGCAAACAATTTTCAAGAGGACGTCGTGTGTGCAGTGGAGATTGATCGCACATGTAGTGGATCCTAGAAACGTTTCTGATCTCCACATCTATCGCAGACGTTTCGCTTTCGCAACCGTGTGTAGTGTAATCCCTAATTTAAAAATCACATGTTTTGAATTTGAAAGTAGGCAATCACTTATTTAATATCCAACCATGTTTATTACAAATATAGGTTCAACCACCAATGCATAATTCGATGCACAAGTACATATGCTGGAGAACTAGAGAAGCACCAAGTAAAGAATGATGAACCACAGTTGTACTAAAGACTATAAAGAGAGAGGCGAAAGACATTCTTGTTGCTGGAGAAGGTGAAGCGGAATGCTCATATTGTGGCCTTTTCCATGCATAATGCGCGCACGACTCTAGGCCAACCCCTTGTGATGGTTGCCCGTCCATCCTTCACTGTCTTCATTATGACTTCTCGATGCTCATTGTAGTCTGGATGAAATATTGTAACCTTCATTGCGTGTCCACCAATTATGTACTTTGTGAGGTAATCTTGAGTGAACTGCTTCGGGAACCACTGCGAACGAAAAAGATTCAGACATTGTTGTCTAACAACTCATTATGGGCAGTAAAAAGATAAGGCTGCAGAGTTTATAGTTACCATCCTACAGCTCACTGTTGTGTTGGATAGAGTATAAACAAATAATTTGCTTGCCACTATTCATATCTATTTGCTAATAATCCTTATCAATTTCCTCACTTGATGCTTGTTGATGAATATCTCATTGTCCCATACGCAAAAGGGTCAATGCGTGGATCCTTGTCAAAGGCATATGCACCTACAAGCAACAAGTCAATATTAGAAGCTAACAAGTGTCCAGGCCTGGATCTATATGCACTACATTATGGAACGATGGGGGGGAGTACAAGCCGAGGGATGAAGCTAACCTCGGCGGAAAATGGTGGCCACTCCCGTTGTTGTCCTGCATAAGTAGTGAAAAGGCATGATAAGTACAACAACCTTAACATCAAACAAATATAGCAAAGGTAAATAACATCATCTCCAAATGATAGCTTGAATGTGTTGGTTGCAGCATGCTGTTAAAGCTGATATAAAATGGAAGACAGTGTTACCGACAGCAAGCTTAACAGCCATCAAATATTGCAATTCAAACTGGTATTGTTGAAAATGAATCTAACGTAGATAATGCTTAAACATCACATTGGATAAATGTGTAAAACTAAAATAAAGGACATGTGTTAACTACACCAGGAATAA